AGAAAAAGATTCTTACAGATAATATATATGTGTACATAATACATATCCATGTATGTATGTAAGAATTGTATTGTTATACAGTAGAAAAAATAAAGACAACTTATGTTGACAGTAGAAGAATTGCACTCTAAGGATGAGTAATACTGTACACCTATTAAACAGAATGAAGAATATGCTCCAAATATTCTGACATAAAAAGAGGCATATGACCTGTAATGCACTGCAAAAATATCACTGAATTGAAAATATCCAACTGTAGGATTAGGCAAAAAGTATGTGTGTAATGGCTTGGATCATAAATGCCTGCACAAAGCTCATGCTGTATAGGTTTGGGCATTACTTTGTGGCACTAGTAAGGGGTGGTGGAACCTGTATGAGGAGGGGGTTAGTGGAAGGAAGTGAGGCCAGTGATCAATTTAGTGGGATGCTGCAACCTATTTTCTCCCCCTTTTTTCTCTTGTTCCTTGGTCACTGTGAGCTGAGCAGCTCTGTGTTGTCATCTGCTTCCCCCCATCATAGTCTGCCTCACCACAGGCCCCCAAATAAGTTAAACTATGGAACTGAGAGCTGAATAAATCTTCCTTTAAAGTTGATTCTCTTGGGTATCATTATAATAATGAAAACTGACTAATAGTGTGATAATATTTATATTAGATCACACAAAGCTATACATTTTTGTCTTTACAGTTATAGTTCAGTTAACTATGGGAACCCTTGTTGAGCAACGTGTTGTTAGGCAAATTAATCGTTTTGTGGACATCAAAGAGGGTCCTTATACAAACTAAGATTGCTATCCCAGTAGGTGACACAATATACTACTAGGGTATATGTGGTCTGTTCTCCACTGAAATATAGTTTCTTACATGGTATGTGATTGCATAGCTGTTGTGCTTAACCCATCAATAAAGGATTTATAAAATTATAAAGAAGAGCTGTGTGATAAAGATGTGAGGTTGTGGGAAGGATAGAGAAGGAATGATCTTTTCTGTTTTATAACTATGTAATATATTGTTTGAGGGCTAAAGCCTTTTAAATAATGAAAATACAAAAAAATGCAGTGCTATTCTTTATAACATGGCTTATTGCAAAAAGGTTCATGAGATTGTTTCAGAATAAATTGGCTGGATTGTTTCTGAATAAATTGGACAACTCAGCAACTCATGGAGGGAAAACAGGACAACTAAGCACTAAATGCCTCTGGCATAGACTGGCTTTTCACTTTTCCTGTCCTACTTTCTCTAGACCTACTACATTTCCATCATCAGTCATTTAGCTGCTTAGTGCACTTTCTAATTTACATTCACATGCAAAAAACATTCATCCATTGGATTTTAGGTCCTCAAAAGATAACATTTCTGCCCTTATTTGTTGCTCTCATCTGGAAATCTTTGGTTTCATCTCTGCTCCCCTACTGAACCCAAAGGAGCTAAATAAAGCTACAGATCTTTTTCTTCAAGAAATTGTATCACTCCATCCTAGTAACAGGAGTAGCTACTTTAAGTTTAATGTTAGATTAGATTAGTTATTAAATTACTTAAGATGGAAACTAATTATAGATTGAAATGAAATTATTTCTTCCTAGACAAATATCCTTCCAACTGTAAGTTATAGAGGGAAACGTAATAAGATGGGTAAAATAATATAAATTACTAAGTAATGTGTACCCATGCTCCTTAAAGTCCTAGGCTTTGTGCAGCTCCTGCTACAATTAGTAAACTTCAAAGCTGTGACCCCTTCAAGCTCCAGTTAAACAAAAAAGCTAGAAAGTATTTTACCTCTTACTTGAAGATAAAGTCCCCACTGTGCCTTTTATAAGATGCCTTTCTATCCACACTCCCCTGCACTCTTGCAAGGAGCAGCAAAATCTCATTTGTAAATATTTTCTGCTTTGAGCCTTCAGAGAAACAACATAATCTGCAAATGAGAGTCACGTAGGCTACCTAGCCATGAGGAGAAAAAGAGGAACAAAGTTCTAGCAGTGATCCAAAGCATCAAAGCATCTGAAATAAGTGTATTTTTTTCTTTTCTGTAAGCCAGGGGAATTGGTGTGACGAGACTGAAAGGTGCAAGAGCTCTTTGAATTCAATGAGGACATAGCTAGAGCTTTCTCTGTTTTATTGCATTTAGGGCAAATGTAGACAGTCCAGTGGGTTTCACTGAAAACTATTTTCTTGCTTTAAGCTGTAATTGACACCTTTAATCTCCAAGCTCTGGTGGCAGTGAGCCTAGTACATGGTCCAAGAGTCAGAAGAAGGCTTGTAAAAAGATGCTATTAGAGATTTCTGTATATCAACAAACTCCTAAAAAGAAAGCTGGCGAGTTGAAATGGAAAAACAGAAGGATCCAAATTTTCTTTCAAGTATACACTAGTTTAAGCATGAAGGAGGAACACTCAGTTGTTTAAAGGGGGTTGAGGTTTTTACCAAACTCAGAAATTCTTGAGAGCAGGTGAGATACTTTTTGCCAAACTTCATCTATTAAGGGTTGACCTTTCTCTCCAATCAGTTAGATAACTGCCATTTCATTCTGTGGATTTCATTTTTTTTTAAAAAAGCAAATAAAATATCCTCATCTCAAACCAATTTTGCTAGTATTTCCACAATGGAATAATTATTTCAGCCCCTAACATAAAAACCCTCTCGCTGTCTCTGTGAGCACTGTAGGCTGTCAACTATTTTAAATGACCTTGAGAACAGTCAGGTTAAGGACTTCATTTATGCTCTTAGAAGTCAATACAAAGAGGCTTACTCCATAATGGAAGAGGCAATTCTATTTATAATGCTTAATTAATCCTGTCCTGTCATACCAGAACCCACTTGTGACCTTTTGTTTCAAGCTTTCCTAAAGTCAAGTCTCCTGAGATGAGAACTGTTAATATGGGAATGCTGATTGAATTGAATGGAATTATGGTCAAGTATTTAATAACTAATCATTTGGATAAATTAGCTTCTGATAGCTCACTAATCAAATGTAGGAAGGAAATGTCAAGTTGGGCAGCCTTGATGAAACCCTTCATCAAATTTTGTGGTAGAAAGTGGTAGAAAACAGAAAATGTGCATGTAACTGCCTGAAGACACTTGCTCCAAATGAGACAACCAAGAGGATGGTTACAGGAAGCTATCCTTGGTAGCTTTGTCTATATATTATTTATTGTTAATACTCTACTGCTGTCTTCTGTTTGATACGGAAAATTCAGTGATAATCAGGTCAACCTAAATTAAAGTAACCTATGGAGGTACAGTCAGAAAGTTATGTGGAGAATTCTAAATACCCAGAAAGCTATAGGGAACAGGAAGAATAATGTCTGTAGAGATATATAACATATCCTGAGATGGGACCCTGGGGAAGAGAAAGGAAGGCAAATGTCCTATGTGGGCATTTTTTGCAGTAGTGGCCTTGAAGTTTGGCATGAGGTATGGAGAGCTTTGTCAGAGCATTTCCATATCCTCTTGGGAATCAGGAAAATATCTTTCTTTCCTTCTCATTTCTCACATTCAGGAATCAACATACTGTGATGACTTGGACGCTATTTTGAGTAGTTACATTCTTTAATTTTTTCCCCTCTTTTTTATTTATCTGTACATTGGGAATCCAAAGTGTGTTTTATAAGGCAGCTGAGGCAAGGACAGAGTTAATAAATTCACATGTAAGCAGTGCCTGGTGCAAAACAGGCACATTGCAAACGTGGACTATCATCATCGTTATGGCTCACTGTGGCTTCCTCCTCTGGCTCCTCTCCTTTCCTAGTGCTTTCGCAGTAGCCAACTCAGGCTGTCAGTCTCTCTCTTGAATACCTTCCTGATCCATTTTCTTATTTTAAGCCCTATCTCTTCTAATACTTCATACCCAATACTAACACTTCAAACTTTCAAAAGTCTACCTGAGGTCTTGTTCCTATCTTATTCAGTAACTGTAGAATTCTATCACATAAAATTTAAACTTTGACCTTTATTTCAAACCTTCTTCTATCTGACTACTGGCCTTAATTTTACTTTTAGGTTTATATTCACTGCTCCTTCTTATGACCCATACTCTAGAGAAGCCATGCTATATTTCCTGTCCATTCTACATGATCTACATGATCACTTAGTCTCTACTTGTCCTGGTATTATCTTAGTTTTATATCTGTACTCATGATTCTTTTCATCTTCCAGCCAACTCTTGTCTGTCTACCAGGTCCACTAACTTCTGTCGATGACACGTCTACCCTGCAGCCTTTACTTATCACTCTTGTTCTTTTCTGAGCCCAGTTCACTTCACCTAGTTTTATTTTTTGTTTTACAATCTCCCCCCCCCTCATTTTTATATTCCATATTTTAGCCTCTTGGCTTCTGATTTTCAGTATGTTCCATATCACAAGCCTATGGTCTCTACAGAGTAAGTCCTCTGAAAACATGTGTGGCATATTGAAGTGCTTGCGATATCAGCCTGGTCTCATGGTTCATTCTTCTTGTGAGTTATTCTCAGTCACCTTATTGTTTCTTTCTTTCTTTCTTTCTTTCTTTCTTTCTTTCTTTCTTTCTTTCTTTCTTTCTTTCTTTCTTTCTTTCTTTCTTTCTTTCTTTCTTTCTCTCTCTCTCTCTCTCTCTCTCTCTTTCTTTCTTTCTTTCTTTCTCTCTTTCTTTCTTTCTTTCTTTTTTGTCGGTCGTGGGGGCCTGAACTCTGGGCCTGGGCACTGTCCCTGAGCTCTTCAGCTCAAAGCTAGTGCCCTACCACTTGAGCTATAGAGCCACTTCCGGGTTTTTTCTGCTTATGTGGTGCAGAGGAATTGAACCCAGGGGCTCATGCATGCAAGGCAAGCACTCTACCACTGAGCCAACTGCCCAGCCCATTCCATATTGTTTCTTAACATCAGTGTACATGAATATATATTCCAACTCCAAAAGCAGTTGGGCTAAAACATTCCAGCAGAAGAACTAAACACATGAAAAGTGCACAATCCCCAAACCACAGCTTCCTTTCTAGGAAGGAACAAGGAGGAAAGATGTGGAGTTCAGTACCTTTATACCTGGTCACTACAGCTGCATTGACGCTGAGAGGCTCCTGGAAGCTGACAGTGAGTGATGTGCTGCTGGTTACCATGAGGCATGCATTGGTTGGCACCTCAGGGGCTCCTAGGACAGAAGGCAAAACACAAGGATCTGAGCCTTGCAAATAGTTTTCAAAAAATGTTCCTACCTTTTTAATGGATACCATGAAAAACACACTATAGGAATATTTGCATGGCCTGGTAGCTTTTGCTTTTGAATGTTCTCATTAAAAGACTCAATGATGTTTATTTGCTGCCATCATGGTCTTCTTGGAGCATTAGGACATTTTCTGAAGGGTTAAAGGAAGCCTTCCTCAAGTGTCCTGAGAACATAATGGGTGTTGGGCTGTGCTAGCAAATAAAGGACAAAAAGAAATAACAGATTCCTATTCACATGGAGACCTTTAATGATTCAGAAGGTACTTTCATATAAATCATTTCATTGGGCCTATTGGCCATCTTGCCAGAAGAGAAAGACGAAATTGTGGCCTCAAATGGTCAAACTGGTTGTTCATGAACATGATGAAGACATACATAGCCAGATGAAAGCCCAGAGTTTCCAATGCCTAATGCTGGGCCTCTCCCAAAATTCAAATTCTTACTCCCTTTGCTTTTACACTGCCTCCTCTTATGCTGGGTAGTATTATGTAACTAAAAAAACATACAGGGCCAGGTGCCCGTGGCTTATGCCTGTAATCCTACATACGCAAGAGGCTGAGATCTGAGGATCACGGTTCAAAGCCAGTCCAGGCAGGAAAGTCCATGAGACTCTTATCTCCAATAAAACACCAGAAAACTGTAACTACCACTGTGGTAGAGCACACTACCTACCCTTGAGCTGAAGAGCTGAGGGACAGCTCCAAGCCTACACGTCAAGTCTCATGACTGACAAAACAAACAAACAAACAAAACAAAGCATACAGAGGAATGTCCTAACAGTACAGGTGATGGTTTTAGGTATTCCTTCATACTCACCAGTGTTTTACACCTGAGAAACTTAGAAAAAATGATATCGTGTCCAAAAATATGCCTGATTCAAGTAAGACTCTTGTCTAAATAAGGCACAATTGCTAATGCCTTTCTACTAGCAATTGCTCAGTGGTCAAAATCCCATATCAGCATTGCTGAGAAGAACATTAATAAAGGAAGCATCTTTTCATCAATATGGCTGAAGTCTTTTGCTTTAGAAAAAGGGCCAGGTCTAGGTTTGGTGTATATAGTACTACTTAAGAAAGCTATGTTTTCACTATCTTTAGTCTTTGTCTCTGTCACACAGTCAGTACAGAGAATTTTCAAATGATTCATTAACTCCTTAGTTTTCAAGTAGTAACTTTTAGTTTTCTAAATAAAATCTCCTTCTAGAATGAAATGTTTGAATTGTATATTTGATTTTTAGTAAATCTCTTTCTAGAGCAAGATGAAATTTTCTAGAATAAGAGTTTAATATTTTACAAGTATTAGAGTTGTGTATTCAGTTTTAATATTAGGAGCTGCATTCAGCAATATTTCTAGCTTATGAATATTATGTAGAAAGGCTTTTCTTAAACTAACAAAGAATTGCTAAAGGGAATAAAAATTCAGACAAAAAAACACAACCCATAGACTTACAGACTGTCCTCTGCTTGTATAAATTGAAGTTGTCTATAGCCCTCTGTTTAAAAAAAATGCAATAGGGAGTTGAAAACACCTTAAACTTGAAGCAGAAACATATAAACAAAAAATACTTTTTTATCTCCACATCCCAAAATAGAGCATTTAGGACTTTGGACCATCCAAGTCATTAGGCATTAGGGCGTATCGGGTGGGAAGGGCTTGGTGAGTACAGCATGCATGGGAAGAGGCCAGAAGCACCAACATTCATGGCTGTGGTTAGAGAACCTATCAGGAGCCAGGAAATCAAGCAAGACAAAATACCCTTTTACAGCGTCCCAGAACCTTTACTCCAAATAGATTAACAACAGCCATCCATGATGAGTGAAAGAAGGCCCGACTGTCCCAAACCAAAGCTTAGCCTAGTTGAATGTAGACTCCCTCTGCATATACTTACTGGCATGTTCAAAGCCTGTTTTCATGCGTCTGTAGAGCCGGTACCTCCACTCCCAAGCTTTTAGTTGTTTCTCTTTCTCTGTATTGTCCAGAGTGAATCCTTCATTTTCCACTTGGGCAGACAGTTCACTCACTCTGTCTTGGGCCTCCTGAACCAGTGTGTTGAGGTGCATTGCTCGACTTTCCAGGCTGACAACTGAGGGGAAAGAAATAATGTAACTCCTTTCTGGAGATATGCTAATGCATGGGCGGGCTAGATCTGAGAGTCCACTATAGGTTTTAAAATCCTAGAGAAAGTAGGACCTGTGGTGAGTAGCAACTGTCTTATTTCCATAAGATATAATTAGTAACATTTACAACCGGAGTTAGTGCTAAATTAATCAAATAAAATATTTCCATTAGTTTCAGGCCCTCTGTCACATGCATCCCAACCAGCTGCTTGGCACAAATAATTATAATTGCACAGATTTGTTTAGAAAGGCACACACTTAGGGGCCAATGTTCTGTAGGGCCAGAAAGGCCCTAGGAAAAATTAGTCACGGGGCTGGGAAGGTGGCTCAGTGGTAGAGTGCTTGCCTAGCATGCATGAGGCCCTGGGTTCGATTCCTCAGTACCACATAAGCAGAAAAAGCCAGAAATGGTGCTGTGGCTCAAGTGGTAGAATGCTAGCCTTGAACGGAAGAGCTGAGGGACAATGCCCAGGCCCAGAGTTCAGGCTCCAAGACTGACAAAAAAAAAAAAAAAAAAAAAAGAAAAGAAAAGAAATACTCATCAGGCAAATTACATTCCACCAAAGTGGTTTACAACTTCTGCTTTATTACATCCATCTTAACATATAGATTGTTTTGCACACGTATCTTAGAGATAATTAGTTTGTTATTCATAAATATATTTATTGTTAACACAGTGTCTCTTTACTGATGCCACAGTTAAGCTAGTGAGTTTCAGTGGCTAGATTACTTGGCTGTGATCATATATTGGTCTTTGAGCAATTTGATCTTTGATTATGGTCTAACTGTAGGAATGGATCTTCTCCAGACATGCCTGTATTCAAGGGGGCATTAATATAGTATCACCTCTTGCCAAGAGAGGCTATGTGGATTTACATTTGTGTTTTACTGGATGCTTAATATTCTTCATTTGATTTATATCATATTGGTTACCCAGTTTACCCTTGTCTTATTGAATGTTTGTGAATGGTAGAAGTTGCCCAGTCTTGTGTTAGGCTTTGAGGCCACTTTTGGGGTCTGTTTGTGATTACTGTGCATATAAAGGTCTGTGTAGGTGGTTACTTGGTCAGTTGAGAGGTACCTCTCCAGCATAATGGTAAGGTAGGAGACAGCCATATTATGGGAATATGATAAATCATACAAATAACAAAATAAATCTGAGTCAAGGTCTACAGCTTTGTTGCTGAAATGTGTTTGACATACCTGCGATCAAAACAGTATTTCTGCCTGGGAAATGTAGGGGAAAGAAATACAGGTAGTAAAAAAATCCATCCATTTCAGCCTTCTAATCAAATGGGAAAATATTATGAAGATACCTCAAGTGAAAATTTGTTAGGCATATTTTGAAATGGAAATTAGGTGGTTATATCTTCATATTTTCTGTTCATAGATGTGTTTGCATTAATTACAGGAAATAAATACTAATTCATTATTGCCCCTGAACACCATCAGTCTAAATTTATTTACAGATGAAGTGAATGAAAAATTAGTTGAGTCTTTTTTCTCTTTCTTTTTCTTTCTTCTTTCTTCGTCAAGTTGCTGTTTAGAACACTCAGAACTGTGTTTTGCTACAGATTTGTCATGGTTAATGAATGTTGTTGTAGCAGTCAATCATGTACTCTAAATACTGTCACACTTTTTTTTTAAAAGCCTCAGTCATGAGCCATGACAGAAAAATAAACAAATAAATATAAAGCTAAAAAACTCTTTCACTGAGCAGCTACAACTATGCAAAATCCCCTGGGAAGGCTAAAGGAGGCCAGAATAAATGATAATATAAGTACCGTGGATGTAGGGAAGCAATGATGGTGTATGTACATGGAGGTTTTGGAAAAAAAAATACACACACACACACACACACACACACACACACACAACACACACACACACACACACACACACACACACACACACACACACACACGGTGCACACTCCAGTGGAAAAATTGGCAATATTAGTAGCCTCAAGGTGCAATTTCCTGGAGTAGTGAGATTGACAAGTCAGTACTAAATGCTGTTAATTTAACTAACTTCAGATTAATGGTAGAGTCTGCTATGACTGAAACCCTCAAACACAGTCTCATTATAGCCTTGCTGGGAAGGTCCTAAATATAGGCATTGACAGTTTAAAACAAATTCGTATATATTTGTGTATTTTTAGACATAGGTTAGGCGTCAGAGTTTGTGTCACAGTTTTCAGGTTGATTAATTGACCCAGTAACTGCACCCTCTACCCACAGCCCCCCTCCTTCCACTCCAAATTATAGAGAAAATGGGGGAATTGTCCTTGTTAAGTTATTCAGTAAGCCTTTTATTGTAAGTCTGATGTTTGAATTGCATGCATGCGTCAACACTTGGGTGATAGACACATGATTTATAAAAATAAATTTTTCTAATACTATGAAATCCCTCCTATTAATTTTTATATCCACAACAGTTTATTACTAGTGTGAATTCCAGGTGGCATTTCAGATGGGCAGCTTTTCTGGAATTATGCTGGACTACCCCTGACATTTTTCCTACTCTCTCTAGTATAACTCATTTTGTTTCTGTACCTTTCCTTTCCTCTGAGGCTTTAAATGTGTAATTCCAGTTATTGTGGTAAAGGGATTCTGTGTCTCTACCATAAAGCATTTGCTCCTTCAGAGATTAAACAAAGGAGCTCTATAGACTTTTACAACCAGGTGAGCATTCCTAGATTATTTCTGTCCCTGTGCCCCTCAGACTGGGGTACTTCAGCTCCAGTGTGATGAGGTACTGGTAGTGGCTAGGCTGGGGATAGATACAGTGGACAATCTCTGAAACCACAACATGAGTGCTCATGTCTTTCTGGAGTATCAAATTACTACACAGATTTTGATGAAATTATATTAGTTGGAAATTTGAGACAAGCATATTTATTATGGAAGAGAATGTAAAACTTTCTAAAAAATTTAAAATAAAAAGTTGTATGTAAATCTCTGCCTTTTTAAGATTTAGTAGCCAAATATCCCTGGGACTGCATTCACTTGGCATCTGTTGTTAATGGTAATTGTGTGGACAAGTCAAGAAGCACTGGAGCTTGTGGTTTTCAACCATTTTACCAAGAAATTTTTACTTTTTTCCTATGGATTTTTAGTAGCTTAACAAAACACTCACCTTTGAAAGATGATTTTTGCTAACCAACTAGCTGATTTATAAAATAATAATGTTTCTATAATTAATAACTTATTTAGTTGCAACTAGAAGCATCTGTTCAGATGATATATCAAGCTAATTCAACTAATTTATTTTAAGCAGAAGCAAGTGAACGTGATAATTATATTAGACTTGGTAATTTTATCTTGAGTAAAAATGTTATAGACTTTATGACACTTTAGAAATTGTTCTGTGAACCCCATTCCTAGTTATCTGAGTCCAGAGTGGGATTTTTTTTTCAGTCTCATTATTTTAAAGATGAGGTAACTAAGACCCAAATAGATGGAATGATTTATCTACAATTTTCTTTAAAATCCTTAAAAAAAACTCAGTGAGCTTACTCCAGAGCAAATGGAATAAGAATCAAGCTATTATGTATGTATTGCAATTTTCAAATCACTATCTGAACTCACTTTGGCAGGCTGTTTGGACTTAGAAAATAGAAAGGCTATGTCTATTTTATGATTGATCTTCCTGCCCATCTACTTCTTTTTCCCTTGGGTCTATCCACTTCTCTTTTACTTCTACCTACTGGATAATCCCTTCTGTGTCCAATACTCAAGATATTTTGCCAGGTTTAAGTTTAGCTTTTTCTTTCAATGCAGTCAGTCCCTTCTCCAGCCAAGCAACTGTCCCTCTGAGCAGCCACAGCTAGTACAATAGAGGGTCTGTGGGTGTGTGGCAGGGCATCCAGCTGGGGCAAGACCACTCTACATCTCCTGAAACAGGCTCCCTGCTATTGTGGTGTTTAATTATCAACAGTGTTTCTACCACCCAGTGCTTCTGAGTGGGTATTTGTTATAAGACTTGCCCAACTAATTAACTATGGGATGGAGGTGGGAGGTGAGGCAAGAACTTGGTGTTCAAAGAATACAATTACAGTTACTGTTTAAATCTTGAGATAAATAATGATCCAAAACTAAATAAATTTCTAGCATCAGAATCTAACCTACAGATTGCCAACTACTTAGTATTTCTTAATCTTACCTTTGCCCTGAAGTAGATGCATTTGAATGTGGTTGCTAATTGTTTAAAGCTTGAAATACCAATGAGGATAGAGTCTAAACTAATTTAAATAGAATATTTTAGGGTACAATTTATTTGGCTTTCTTGGAAAAATGGATACTTTAGCATATTGTTAATGATAAGCCATTCTGTAAGTTAACAACAAATTTTTATTTTTATTATTAACATTTTCTTTTTTCTTTTATATATATTTATTTATTTTACAATTACATGGGCAAGATAATGAGTACATTTCTTATCAAGCATTGTTGCCTCCTCCTTTGTTTACCCTCCCCATCCCTTCCCATCTCCCACCCACTCTCCCCCTCCACATCCTCCCAGCCAAAGTTGTAAAGTTCGTTTTCGACATAAAGTCTTGTATATCTCATTGTTGCAATGGGTCCACCTGTATCCATATTTAAACAATTTGTTTTTGCCCTTCCCCTCCACTAATTATATCAACATCAAATACAGTGAGAGCAGGGGTTATACCGTGGGGGAGGGACATACAAAGCAACAAAGAAATCATCTTATAAATATGTTAGAAACAATCGCATGAAAGAAAAAAAACATTTGAATACTTATCTTGGGGTTCATTTCACCTAACATCAATTTATCTGACCGTTTCTGCTTGTCTCAGACATATACTAGTTATTACAATAAGGGAAACCATGGGACCTATGTTTCTTTGGGCCTGGCTTACTTCACTTAATAGAATTTTCTCCAAGTCTTTCCATTTCCTAACAAATGGGGCGATGCTATTCTTTCTGATGGAGGCATAGAA